AATAATATGACATTCAAATACATCGCGAATACGGAAACATTTGATTTTGTGTCGAATGAGAGACGCAACGTTGGTTTCAGTTTAGTTTTAGCCTAAATGTATTTGTTTTGGCTTGTCGTTTATATTGCTATAGCTTCTTATAATTTTAATTATTGTTCTTTTCTAAATACTGTTAATTGTTGTGGAGTGAGGGGAACTAAAATAGCCTAGCTATGTTTACAGCGTTTATTATGTTTGTAAACATTTCGTGTAGGCATTAGGCCTATTTCTGAATGAAATAATAAAATGCGACTTAGACGCGACTTATGTTTTTTTTTCCTCTAAAAAACGATTTCTTTTTTATACGCGTAGCGTATTTCAACCATGCAGCAAACCTTTTTTAAATATTTTGATAAATTACTAAAAAAAAAAAAAAGATGTTTTGTAAGATTGTATTAATCGGTCAAAATTCTTCACGGTCGGTTAACGGTTAACCGGTTAAAATGAGCATCCCTAAAAGGAATTAAAAGAAAACCTCTCACCTGTGAGTTATTTAATCTGATATGTTTTAACGGGAAGCATAATATCTCTAACTAAAGCTGACATTCAGTGGATTCCATAAAAGTGTAGGTCATCAGGTGATTTTTGCACAGTCAGTTACGCACCTGTCTTTTTGTCCAGGACCCCTTTGTATCTGAGAGTGAGAGTGCCGACAGTGGAGAACTGGAGATTCTGTTCCACGCCAACTTGACTCACAGGCTTCTTATCTTCCAGCTCACAGCCAGATACAGATTTATTTCTGACAGTTCCGCACTCTTTCACAGAACCACAAATGTTCACCTACAGTAGACGGGAGGGATATGTAACTTTTGTTTTATAATGGGTATAACTGCACTAAAATTATATACTCAAGAGGGCAAAGCACAGAAAAACCAAAAAAACATGTATACATTTCAGTACATGACACAGACAACAAAGTGCTGCAACTCAGCACAAATATTTCACTACATTTGTTACAAGAACAAATGAATGCTAAAAGTAACTAAATGTGTATGCACAAACTACTCAATTCAAAACTTTGGGTAAAAAAAAAATATATTGTTTCTTAAAAAACAATCTCTTGTGCTCACCAATGCTGCATTTATTTATTTGAACAAAAATACTGCAAAAACAGTTACATGTGAAATACTATTACAACTTTTTTTGTTTTAAAATGTAATTTATTCCTGTGAAGACAAAGCTAAATTTTCAGCATCATTACTCTAGTCTTCAATGTCACATGATCCTTCAGAAATCATTCTAATATGCTGAGATTTGCTGCTCAAGAGACATTTCTTATTATTATTATTAGTGGTCGACCGATATTGGTTTTTTGACAGCCGATGCCGATATCGATATCTTGGAAAGCAGGGTGGCCGATGGTCGATATAAAGCCGATATAATTTTTTTAATTTTAATTAATATTTAAGAAATTTGAAATCATTTGAAAATTGATTAAAATAATAAATGTGTTAAATAAACATACTTATACTTTAGATGACAAAGTATTTTTCACAAATAAATAAATATTTAATAAAAATATAATTAAAAAGGAAGTAAACACTGTAACCAACAGGGCAGCAGTATTCTGGGAACTTTGTGTGCATTAATCATATTTTTTCAAATAAAGCCAAGGTAACACTCATTTTACATTTTACAGCACACAGTGAAAATGAAATGAATATGACAGTGGGCAAATGCATAAAGAGCAGCATAATTTAAAATCACGAGATTAAAGTTTGTCGATCGCGCGTCTCCAGTGAAGTTGAACTCTCCTCCTGTCAGCATTCAATTCGCACAAATCGACCGTCACGCAGAGTACACGCGATCATGCAGGCTTGCACACTTCACAATATCTCACAACTGGATCCGACTAAGTTTGCAAGGTTTTTGAAATTAGATGTTTATTAGACATTCAAAGATTTGTTTAAATGATATAAATGCGTATTTGCTGAATGCTGACGGCAAACAAGATAGTATTATAATGTTTGCCTTTCTATTACTAATAATATAAAAGCAGTCGTTATAAGACTTTTTGTATACATTTTAATTCTTTTGTTTAACCGTTCTATCTGATTATTAGACAGACTTCTATCCGTATTTAGACAGAACTGTTAACGACAACAGCGAACAAGATGGAGAATGTGAGCACTGAGTGCCCAGGCGCTGCCGTTCTCAGCCCCGTCAAAATAAAAGTCATGCCTCGAACGCATCGGCCAAACAGGAAAATTTATCGGCCGATGCCGATATTTAAAAAATGCCAAATATCGGCCGATATATCGGTCGACCACTAATTATTATCAATGTTGAAAACAGTTGTGCTGCTTAATTTGTGGAAAGTAATTTTTCATGATTTTTTGATGAATAGAAAGTTCAGAAGAACATTGATTATTTGAAATAACATTTTTAGTAACATTAAAACTGTTTTTACTTTCATTGTAATCCATCAATTGAATGCATCCTTGGTGGATAAAAAAGTATTAATTTCTTTTAAAAGTACTGACCCCAAATGTTTGAAAAGCAGTGACTGAATAAATAAAGAAAGAAAGGAGGAAAGAATTACTGACAATGAGTTACTGAATCTACTGAGAGTCCCAGTTTCATTTCATCAGTCATCCACGGCCATTTATTGTTGGGTCTCTGTTTAAGTATGGATACTGATGTACCGGAAGCTGGCATCATACTGAAATCAACTTCTGTATCGATCCATCCCCTACTCAAGAGCATTTGAAAGATTTTAAAGTGCTTCTTACGACAAAGTCTTTCCCATGAGCATTGACGTGGTATCCATTTTCTGAAGCCAGTGGTTTCAGGTTGAACTCAAAGCCAGTGTTGGGATCTTTCACTGAGCAGGTCTGTAGATAAATAACAAGAGAAATAAGAAAATCTTCTCGATTCTGTCAAAGTCATTGATTTTGTGCAAACATTAAGGTTGACCTGATTGGTGTCCTCAACGGTTGAGATGGCGCAGGCTGCTTCTGTGTCCCAAACAAAGTCAACGGTGCAGTTCTGGTTCATCAAAAAGCGAGGACCAGATGGCTAAAGAAAAAAAGACCCCCAAAAAAAATACTGTTCTCATATTGTTCATGTCACTGATTTATAAAAATATTTTTTATAAAATAAATTATTTTACAAATAAGCCTTATAGCAACAATTAAAATAAGAGTGAAAGGTCAGGAATGACTCACTGCTGTCCCAGATGAGCAGACGAAGTGGATACGAGTTGTGTAAGTGGTCATAACTCCATCTGCTTCACACACTGAGCCATTAGTGTACACCAACATTAGCTGGTTCTCTTCTTCGATCACCGGCCCCTTCTTAGCAATACCCAAGTTGCTGATCTCTACCTTCTCAGACAGGCCTTCCTGCTCGAGTAATATGTACACATACATTTGCTGTCAGTGGTGCAGTTTTTTGTATTTCATCATGTCATTCCAGTGTTCACAGCCAGCAAACTAACCTTGTCAGCCTCAAATTTCACCTCACAGACAGAAGCTCTCCTGTCACAGCCAGGCACGGCTTTAAGTGGCTGGCATATATTGATGTAGTATTTCCTCGGGCCGCTGGGGTCAGAGGTTTGCATGGCCTGCCAGTTCCTACCGCCATTAGATACTGCCAAACTGCAGAGAGGAAGGAAACAAGAGATTTACTGGAGAGTCATTGCTGTTAACATTGTCTAGCTTTTTGATACTAGCACTTGTTTGGATGTTGTCAAACACGTATAATGGAGTGATAACACTACCTGAGAAATTATCAGGATTAACGGTGCATTTATATCTAATAATCATATCTAGTATACAAATGTCCATATCTAGTATCAAATGTCTCCACTATGACAGAGAAGGCTACATCCAAAAAGTGAGATGGGGTTAAAAATAAATAAATTAATTGATTAAATTAAATTAAAAATCAGTTAAAGTAAGCCATGTTGAACTTTTTTTTATATAACATTTTTCATGGAAAAAAAGTAGTAACCTAAACTTAATAATACATTTGAAAATAATAAATTCTCAGTACAAAATAAACCAAATTTACAAAAAAGCACCCTGAATGATCAAAGTCAACACATGTTAACCTAACGCTACAATAAAAGCATTCTTTTTGCTAAATATTGAAATATTTCAATTTACATCAATTAGGACATTTCTATATAAAAAGATATATTTTTATCTTAAAATATTGACTCTTATTTCTCCTATATCTCTAATTTCTTATATCTCCTATATTTAATATACAGAGACAAATACAAGCCATTCAAAGGTTGCTTCATCCACAAAGAGTGGGCACTATTTGTTTAACCATCCCGAACAGCAACACTGGCTTAACCGATGACATGAGTTTGGGATGGGACTACTTGTTTGTTCAATCAATGGCAGATGGAGGAAGTATTTAGTAAACTAAAGGATTAGTGTGTTATTTATGCAGCTCTAGTGGCACCAAACACACTATATATCTAATATTTAACAGGACAAATATTTCTAGGACACATGAATCTTGAGAAAGGCAAGCTAACCTGGACAGGTCGTACTGCTGCAGTGTTTTGGGGTCTGTTACAACACACTCATGTGGTCTCTCAGGACAGGCGTAGGAAGTGTACCATTTGAAGTTATAAGTGTACTCATCTTCTTTCTGGAGAAAAATGGTCATAAATGAAGGACATTTTTGGTTTGCAGACAAAACAAAAGCCTTATAGGAATAAGAAGGTGTGTCCAATGCAAAGCTTAATGCTTAACACACAAGCCCTTCATGCTAAGGGTAGCATTACTTCAGTACATGCTAAAAATATTTTTGTGTGTTAACAGCACAAACAGAACAAAGAAGCATGTGCGATACCTGAAACTCGGGTTTTCCTGGACCAGCCTCTCTGTCACAGAGGAAGGAGATGTGTGTGGAACGCTGCGTGTGCTGCTTGTTGTTGTACTGAGAGCCGTTTCTGTAGGTCAACTGTATCATGCCATCATAGTAGGAAAGCCTGGAGTTAAACTCGCCGAGATCCCAAGAGCTTGTGCCACTGCAGAGACAGAACAAAAATCGTTAGCTCCGCTAACAGTGAAAACTTATTGGGTCAAAAATCATGCACGTCACAGCTGCATGTTAAACATCAAATATGTTACGATTCCATTGCTTTATATCACACTTACAGAGAAGACAATATAAACTTGTCGCATCACACAAAAGCGAACTTACCTCTGGTCAACTTGACAGGCCCCTGCTGTTTCTGGACACTGTGCGGCCTTCACATTGCCACACACATTGATGAAGTAGTCATACTTGTCAATGGACATGTTATAATAACCTCCACTAGGTTTCTGAAGCGGGGACAAGTCAAACGAAATTCCTGCAAAGAAAAAGAAGCACATTTAAAAACAGTCCAATAAAAGGCAAACAAACATCATAAGCTGCCTAAATCTTTAACCACTAGGCTACACATCCTCACAAAAATGAAACGGAAAGTTTTACAAATAATTAGATATTATTGTACTGTAAAATTATATATATATATAAGCCGACCATTTTTGTAAAATAAAATTAAATAAAATAAAAATGACATTTTAATTTAGTGTAGTTTAGTTAAATTAAAGACTAAAACAAACTAAAAGAAAATGGCCACAATATATAAGTGTTTTTGCATAGACAAATATTCACATGAAGGAATAATCTGGTATGAGAGAAGATACAGATTATACAGAATTATGACACACAACAGATACAGTAACTTTGTTGTACCAGTGTAGTTTACTAAAATTAAAAGTATTAAAAATCATTTTCAGTAACTGAAATAAAGCTGAAATTAAAACAAACTTCACGAAAATGAGAAATATCTTAAATGTTTGTCAAAGTCCTAAAATTACTAAAACAAATTAAAAAAAATTTTTTTTAAATCACATAATTACTAAAATAAACTAAAATTTAAATGAAAACTGAAAATATACAAATTTAATACATCAACAAATACATAATAGTACATGAACAAAACTAAAATACCAATGTCCTGTACCTGCTTGTGGGTTGTCCACCTTGCATTCGTCGCCTTCTGTTTTAGACAGGACGCAGGCTGAAGCAGTGAACCACTCAAACTCATAGATGCAGCCATCACTGGACACGCTCCTCAGGACTGGAGCGCTCTCAACATCCCCAGGCTTACACTTCAGAGTGATGATGGTTTTCATTCTCATGTTCTCCCCGCATTTGTCTCCATTAGTGTAAATGAGTCTGATGTCATCCCCCTCTGGCGCCTTTTGCGGAGAAATCAGGAATTTGCCCAAGTTCACAGCTTTCCCCTTTCCTAAGAGAAGAAAATTTGGGAGAGAATGAAACGTCCTGAGTAAGACAGAACTGAAAAAAGGTTTTATATATAAAAATCTACTCAACTGTTAATAATAACTTCAACATAATAATAATAAATGTTTTTTTTTAACAGCAAATCAGAATATTAGAATGATTTCTGAAGGATCATGTGACACTTATAGACTGGCGTAATGATGCTAAAAATTTAGCTTTGAGATCACAGGAATAAATTACATTTTAAAATATATTCAAATAGAAATCCTGTACCTGCTTTTGGGTCTTCCACCTTGCAGTCGTCACCTTTGGTTTTCGAGAGGACGCAGGCTGAAGCGGTGAACCACTCAAACTCATAGATGCATCCATCACTGGACACGCTCCTCAGGACTGGAGCGCTCTCAACATCTCCAGGCTTACACTTCAGAGTGATGATGGTTTTCACTTTCATGTTCTCCCCGCATTTGTCTCCATCAGTGTAAATGAGTCTGATGTCATCACCCTCTGCTGCCTTTTGCGGAGAAATCAGGAATTTGCCCAAGTTCATAGTTTTCCCAGTGCCTAAGAGAAGAAAATTTGGGTTCGAATGAAATGTCCTGAGTAAGATGGAACAGAAAAAAGGTTTTATTTATATCTAGGATATAATCTCTAATGGTGCACTGACCTACTGCACATATTGCTGCGTCCTCGGGGCAAGATCTGGCCTCCCCCTCTTGGATGATTTTATGACAAACATTGATGTAAAAACGTTTCTTATCAGACTCTGCTGCCTTGGCGCCCACAGCCTCCCAGTTTTGAGATCCCTCAGATTCTGAGAGAAAAACATTTACAATAAGCAACATGAGGTGCTGGTACAATTACTGTTTGAAAAGTTTACAGAAACTTTCATATTTTAGAAAACAGGTTTCAAAGTACGAGCCTGAGATAATATTTTATGGCCCATCAAATGCTAATGATTTATCCTTTAATCCAGCCTGCAATTTTTTTTAATATTCAAACGAGATTTTCCACTTACTTCATTTTTTGGTTTGGCCTTTAATGTTACTAATTTCATTCTGGTCCTTACACAAAGTGGTAAGTATTTTTATAGTGCGTTTTTTCTTCTTCTATAAGCTGAATTAATCTTTTTGGAGGGTTCCACAGAAATTTTCTTTCTTTTTTTTAGGCGAACTTTTCTTTTAGAAATTAGGCCATTTTTTGGAATGGTGAAGTAAAAATAAAATAAATAAACAGGCATAGATTAGTCAGCAAGATTATTTTTTAACAATTAAATTACCATGTTTATTCAGCTAGGATGATTTAAATGGATCAAAAGTGACTGTAATAACAAGATATGTAGTAAGATATGTATAATGGTAACAAAATAAATAAATACTGTTCTTTGAACTCTCTATTCTTCAAAAAATTCTGGGGGAAAAAAAAGTTTCCACAAAAATATTAAGCAGAACAATTGCTTTCAAATTACGTTTAAAAAAAACATTCAAATAGACAAGTTTTCCTTTTTCAATTGTAATTTCACAGTATTACAGTTTTTTGATCTAATAAATACAGCCTTGGTGAGCGTAAGAGACTTCTCTTAAAAAACATTTAAAAATCGACCCTAAACTTTATAGTGTATTTATTTACTTGTCATTAAATAACTAAAAATAAATCATGAAAATAATAATAAGAAAAAAAGTTTTCATGATCAATCTTTGCCTCCACTTCCCAGTACACAAGTCATTCTTGCTCATCTCTACCTGGGTAGCGCGTAAGAGGCGACAGATCATAACGCTTCTTCTTGTGGTCTGTGACTCGACACAGCAGGTCTTCCTTCTCCTTCACACATGCGTACGCTGTTTGCCAGTCAAAGTAATACGTGCAGTCAGACTCTCCCGTAAAGTCCGGCTTGCCATACTCTGCAAACCACAAGTCAGCTGTGAGTGAAACATTTTGAAAACCAAATTTCCAACACGAAACAATGTCATCTAGGTCACATTGTTGCATTTCCTTCCTTTTGGTTCTCATACAAATAAACTTCCCCAATCAGGCAGGGTTAAAACAGCAGCGCTGTGGTCTCATCAGCACGTGACTTGACGAGTTACTATGAGATAGAGCTGCACGATTCTGGATAAATTGAGAATCTTAAATAGTAAAAATATTTCAAAATTGTACTGTTTTTGCTGTACTTTGGATCAAATAAATGCAGGCTTGGTGAGCAGAAGAGACTTCTTTCAAAATATTAAAATATATTTAATACACCAATTTTTTATACTGATGTTATGAAAAAGTTGTTTGAATCAATGATTCAACGACTCACTCATAAACCTACTTCACTTGTTTCATTACTGGATGAATCAGCGTTTTTGTACGATTCTCTTGAATGAATAATTAATTCAATGACAAATACATTTTTAAGTCACTTTTCAATGCAATCGACAAATGTTATTTGAAGCGTAGTTACATTCAAAAGGGGATTTGCTCTATTTTGATCGCTGCCATAGACATCGATGTTTATATCTGACCTATAAACTTTCACCCCAGTATTTCTGTGATAATATGAATGACTGTAAGACAGAAATAATACTGTGTAGTTGAAAAGACAGTTTGTGAAGATGCTTCTTAACCAAACATGGTAAGTAACTGCTCTCTCTGCGTCAGCGTCAGTGCGAACACAGATTTGAATGAACCGGTAAGACTTTGTCAAAGGTTTAATAGACTCGGGGAATCGTTGTCATTTAGAAATGAGATCGCGTGGGTGTCTGAATCAAGATCGCGATCTTTTAACGATTAATCGTGCAGCTCTACTATGAGAGTCACTCACCAGCCGTTGCATTGCACTCAAAGTTAATGATGGTCATGCGCTGGAATCCAGTGCTGCATCTGCTTCCGTCTGGGTAGATTAGCGTGAGATCACCATCTGAATACCTTAGGATATAAAAGAAAAGGATTACGACTGCTCAACAATTTAAATTTTCACTGCATTTAAGGGTGAATCAGTAACACAAGCTATGGCGAACCTCAGAGTTTGGTTCTGGAATCTCCCAGCAATCTTCTTCACACCACCCATGTCCTTGACTTGGCAGGCAGACACGTAACCTTTGTCATCACTACACTGTCCAGCATTGGTCTTCTCACACACGTTCAGATAGAAGATATAGGTGTCATTGCCATTTTTGGCCTCAGCCATATAGGGTGTGCCTGAAGCTAAGGATAAAAAAATATGAAGAATGGTAAAGTATTATATTTGTAATATAAATATAATACTCAATCACATCAAGGATGAACCACAACTGTACGTACTTGTTATTGAAGGGCTTTGTGTTTTTGCTAAACTGTATGAAGTCCTGGGAACACCTTAATGCATGTTTCATGATGTTTACAGTGAGTTTTAGTATACTTGTTCTCAATGTTCTTGTTCTAGTTTGCCTTCAGCGGGAAAAACAAACTCTATATCTAACAAACTGCCGTGTGATTTATCCAAGTACCAAAACAAAAGAGTATGATGGAAACACCATGTTATTTCAACCAAGTACCATGCCAATGTCTTGCTTTGCATTTTTTTTTTCACTGAGAAGAACCATGGAAATACCATGTTTTTTTTTTGACGTTTTTAGACATTTTACCAAGGTCATCTCTAAAGTTCAATGAAGTAACATGTAAATACCACAGTAAATGAATATGCGTCAATGCCATGGTATTAGTGTTACTTTAGTATTTTTTTTATATACTATTATAGTATTTATTAATATTTTAAATGAGCTTTAATTTTAAGTTTTAGTAATTTTGTTATGTGCTTTTGTCAATGTGTTTTTTTTTTATGTAGCTTTAATGTCTTTGTTTCAGTTTTAGTATGTCATTTTAGTACTTCAAAAAATGTCATTCATTTTATTTCAGTTAGTTGGTAAAATGTTACATTATCACTTAAGTTTAAGTTTTCATTTAATATTTATCTAATATTTTATTTTATTTCAATTAACATAAATGACTTTTAATATTCCCACTGTACAATGACACTGGGATATCTATGGTTTATTCAGTTAATCATTAAACACCATATAAAAATCCATCATCACATCATTCTTTCCACAGAAACAACATTTACATCATTGCCTCTTACTAAACTAATAGAGTTAACTCACGGTTGTGTGTCAGGGGAGTAAGGTCAATGGAGATGTCGTGCTGTTTGCTGGTCAGTGTGCAGCTTTGACTCTCCAGGTAATCTCTGTGGCAGGCGTACTCAGTCACCCACTCAAACTCATACCGACAGTTCAAGTTGCTGATCATTTTAGGGTTACTTCCCTGATAAACCATTGAGAAAACTGTGAGATGACCGAGTATAGTAGGTATACTGCAATGAAATGAAACACTAGGCATCTTCTTACCGCCTGCCTTGCGGATGGACAAATGAATGTAATCGTCACTGCTGGACTGTGGCCATTACAGAAGGCTGGGCTTTCTTTGACTCCCTCGTACCGCAGCCTTAGTCTGAAAAAGAGAGTATCAGTTATGCTGCTGCTCCAGTTTTCTACGTTGACAGTAAGTGTTTCTTGAGCACCAAATCTGCATATTGCAATGATTTCTGAAGGATCATCTGACACTGAAGTAATGTCTGCTAAAAATTCGGCTTTGCATCACAGGAGTAAGTTACATTTTAAAATATATTAAAATAGAAAAAATTATTTGATATTATAATAATGTTTCACATTATTACTGTTGGTGAGCATAAACGTTCCAATCGCAAACTTTTGAATGGTAGTGTAAAAGCATCAGCCAAATAACTAATTAGCTATTAAATTAGCACATACTTGTCATTTGAGAGCAGCTCAAGCTGATGAACAGGCTGACCCATATCGAAGGAACCTTCGCCAGAGGTGAGACAGGCTGCAGATCCCTCAGGACACAGGCTTCCAGCACGGTCTGGACCGATAAACATCATCCAAGTTATTTGCATTGCACTTCCAAATGCTTTAGTTGTTTAAATAATAACCTGCTTGGACGCTTTGCAGATTGTTTTGTGTGATAAAGCAGCTACTGTATATAATCAAAATGTTTGTTGACTGGGCAGCAAACTCTTAAAAAGCCCATACACTGTGTCCAAAAAAAAAAAAGAGTTTACAGAAACTCACTTAGACTTCTGCATATATTAATGTAGAAATCAATTTCATCATCTGGGTCGTCAACCAGGTAGCCATCTGAGAGTTTTATCAATGGGTTGAGGTCATGCTTCTTTCCATCCGAGTCAAAGACATAGCAGGGGACCTTTAAAAAGAGATAAGCAAATAATGCAATGAGTGGTGTTCAAAAAATAAAATTAAAAATAAAAATAAAAAAACTCCCAGAGGCTTAAGCCATTTCCTGTTTGTTGTAGCATAAATAAGATATTAGGCAAAATAGGCAAAAAAAATTTACACTTTGTGAAAATGTTACTGGCGCTTGGATTAGCATAATAATAGAATAACAGGAAAAAAAGTTGTTTCCCTCAAATTTGCAAAACTAAAACTAATATTTTATTCCAAAACGAGTAGATAATTAAATAAACACTGCGCTGATTTTTACAATAGTTAAAAAAAAATTTGTTAATCATTCTTTATGCAGATTTTGCAGTATTCAAGTTTATTTAGAAATTCACAATTTCACACTGTCAAAATGTTTTGCTCAAGGCTGATGAGCTGAATTTTTTCTCACACTGAGAACAACTGAAACAGCCAAACACACACACTTAAACATTCACACCTTCCTCCACGTTAACGCTCTAAAAGAAATGTCATCACGTCTCATCACCTCTACTCACCTCCTTATGTGGTCTAAATTTCTCACGTCTGCAGGCGGCATACGTCCTCCATTCAAAGTAATGCACACACTCAGAGACAGTAACAAACTCAGGTGTGCCCTGTAAATAAAAAAAAATCAGATGTCATCCATGGTGTGAAAATTATTGGAAATAATGAAAATGTGAAAA